AAGATACCTTTCAGTATCGCAGGAAATGCACGCGTAATACAAAAGTTTTCTGAGTTTCCGAAATTTTCATTTTGATGTATTTTGATACAGAGCCGGGCACGTTTTGTAGATTGTATAAATGGGTCATTCGTTTGTGTATCTTTTGTGCAATCGTGAAGTCAACTTACGCACATGGGAGTATAATAATACGTGGAAATGCACGGCCTCTCTTTTGACGATTTTATCTGAACCTGACATTATTACCTCTATCACGGCTTGATAATAAATTTTATGGTCACGATTTGGATACAGAACAAAATCGTTTTTGTTGTGTATATGAAAAGGTAGAGACGGATTTCCGTGACATGAAATTTAAAGATATATGATATATGAAAGGATGTTTCTACCTAATGGTGCTGTAACACCCCGTACCGTCTGCTGTTAAATCTTCCTTTGTGGGATACATATTTTGTTATTTAAATATTTTGTTAGTGGTTTTGATTTCGTAAGAAACTATATCTTAAGATATCCAGTAGTATTCGCAAAAAGATTAATCAAATAAATACTAAACAGATTTATAAATTTCCAGAAATATATATTTCTGGATTTAAAGGTCCCCTAGAATTAACAAAAATGGAAGACAACGACAATTTTTGACCAGCAGAAGGTTGAAGCTGAATGTGACAAGGCACACTACGATTGGCCATTTATTGGAGACATTTTTTGACCGACATTCAACCGTTCGGCCAGTTCTGGCAATCTGCCATTCGGTCGGCACAACTTGGCTGTTTAGATGCGCACGTACGAACAAGTTATTAATAGTGTTTTATTTCAATTTGTTCGGATCGCAATTAATATAATTTGTTACATCTACCGATGAAAACCTCAACATCATATAATCTGGAGACAGGTTATGGATGATGATTTACACCTGAACAGGTAGGGGTGTATCTCTGCTGGTCAAATGAAAATATTGTGCAAGTCTATAAAATGGCAAGTCTAAAAAGTCTATTAAAGATGTATTTTTGTCTTTAAGAAATATAGTATTGTTTTCTTCGAATACAAGAGTAATTAATTTCGCGTTACCAACTTTGATTACTCGAACACTGAAAAACAAGGTATTATTGATATTAGTAAAGCTTTCAACTCCATTGAAAGACTAAAAATCCCTGTGGTTGAAATCAGCATCATTTAAAGACAAAACTCCTGTGGTTGAAATCAGCGTCATTTAAAGACAAAACCCCTGTAGTTGAAATCAGTGTCATTTAAAGACAAAAGATAGAAATTATGTCCCCGATTTTATACCGTTTACATGTTAATAATTTTGAAATGCAATCTATTAATGATAGCTGTTCAAGTATTGGAAGAGGCCTGGCGGTCTCTGTCTTCGATGATGTCCATCAGCTTTTAAAAACACTTTACAAACACCAACAAAACAATTTGTTTAATCATATGGGATACTGCCACACATCAAACATCACTCATAGTGTCAGAAGTCAGTGTGATGGGATACAATCAGGTACTGAACAAATATAGTTACTTAACGGCTAAATATATCCTAAATCAATTATGATATAATAGAATAAGGTGGGGGGGGGGGGGGGGGGGGGGGTAGCATGCTTGTTTTTATGCATATACTGTAAATTAGATCATGGGTTATGGCGTTTGGGCGGGTTAATTTGTTTGTTATGCTCTCTGAAAATTTTCGGGGGAGCATATAGTCGCCGCCTTGGTTATGTCTTTTCCTTGTGTACATACTCTAAATCCGTTATGTCTATCTCTGAATGGTTAAGGTGTTTATTCACTGAAGTAGATCGATAAAACAACGGACATTGGGGAGAGACATCGACATGAGATCAGGACACGAAAATCATCCGAAGTTCTCGGTATGTTTCTTTGAAATGCAGATTGGGATTTATGTACCATTCTCTATAGAATTACCCAGTAAAAGTAGACAATAACATTTGATACGATTTCGTTTCATTATGATATATCGATTGAAAATGATCCCTGGATTGCGAATATAACCTACTGTAACTGCTATCGTATTTATCGACATCCTGACATTAAACCTACCTTCAAACTCATAAAAGCAGATACTAGGGAATCGGAATATGTCACAAAGATCGTCATGATTATAATCTCCTTTTCACATTTCGACGACACATTTTAGTATGTCGTTGTGATGAATTACTCCAATGTCGATAATCTGCCTTAAGTGGAAAGATGGCCGTCAGAAATCGGGAGGATGTGTGGAATGAATCAGGAAAATTATCCAATGAAAAAATACGTTACATAACGATTATTTTAGAATATATTAGATAGAAATGACTGTAATACTTTACCTTAAATTGTACTGATTATACATTGTCATATTTACTGTTATACTATGTACCACTGTCTTAATCAACCGAATTTCTTTCGCGCTCCCTTTTGTACCTTTCTCACCAGATCACATGATCCCTCTTAGCCAATCAATTCTCTTCTGACATCCATTTCCTCGCACATTAGTAACAATTATTGAAATGATGTCGTTATCCCTATTTCACATTCATATGGTATCTAGCAAATGAGGACAATTTAAGTTAAAATATTTATTACAAGGACAAGTATTAGGTATATTCAGCGTCTCGAAGGAATAGCGGACGACATGCGTAATGTTACTCTGAAAATAGCGGTAATGTGGTATGAACAATATAGTAGGAACTGACCAAACCACCGTCGCACCTCTGGAATCCTAATCCGAGATCTTTTACAGTTTAAGGTCAACACAGCGTTTCTGTCACCGTGTTGACATTAGTCACTCTTTTCCGACCTTTATTGATGTGTACTTCGACTGTAATGCGAGTCCGTTGTCTTGGCTTACACATATACTGTTTGTCAATTACCCTTCTCAATACATTGACTTCGCATTGTGCATCTTCATGCCTCGCACTCCATCTCCGAAAAACGAGTTCTCAATCCTACAACTAACACTTAGAAAGACTCTGTTGGAACAAGATTATGTTGTGAACTATACTGAAGCATATATTGTAAACAAAAACGTCCAAATCAAAAGAAATCATACAAATTATCGAGTTTCTCCTCGACAACATCCTCGTCGAGTTTGGTGGTAAGATCTTCCAACAGACTATTGACATACTTATGGAAACTAACAGTGCTCAGCTGTTGGCTGTCGTGGTTTTGGTTCCATGCGAGGCTGAATTTTATTGAGGGGTTTAACGATCCTTAAATATAACTAAAATAATTACTTATGTTTAAAATCTCAAAAGTGACGTTTCATTAGCTGCATTCTGGTCAATTACATCCGATATAGAGATATAGATATTGAATAAATATACCTTAACCCGATTGCCTTTTTTGTTACCGCCCAACTCCGTTATATAGCGTGATGCTAATATTCATGTATGCTCAACCTTTCTTGCCCTAGGATGAGTGATGATCGACTGGCCAGTAAAGACTGGTATTACCATTCTCAACTCCTTAGCCGAAATATTTTACAGTTTACTGTTTACACACCTTGTTTGTAACTCTCAGTCCTGATGGTGTATGCATACTCATGACTATAATGCATGTCTGTTGCTCTACTAAGCTATTTTTGCAAAGCCTATGACCCTGTAATACGACCCTGTAGGTGTCCTACTGTGTTGACAAAAAACCCACCTATCTGTTTTAAATGTATACATTACTCCTGTACACGTCGCTTGATTTAGCCCCATTTCAGTAACTACTTTTAGATGCTACAGAATCACCACATTTTTGTATTTTTGCTATACTCACCTTTGGTATTGTTACTACCGTTCAAATTTCGTTTCGATTACAATTTTTACACAAGATGTGGAAATTTGTTTAATAAATCAACATTGTCTGGATGCATTCATTACTACTGATGAAATTAAGGTTGGCATCAGTGATAAACCTTTCCGAAAGGACAGGAAGGAGAGGTAATTACTACACTATTCTCCGTCCCTCGTAGCGTTAAAGAAGAAATGAGGTAGACTTTGTCATTGATGAAGAAATACGGCTATATAAAACAGGTAATACAAATAGTTCACAAAATGTTAATTTGATTTAAAAGTACACGTAAAAGACGATGTTCTCTTCTATTCTTCCTAATCTACATTAACATTTCATCTGATCTCCCCTCGGTATCACGCCTCCTTGCTGACAATAAGGCGCTTCGTATTTATTATCAATCTGACCAGCAAATCCAGTATTAGACATGGTTCTGTCATTCAATTTTCAAGCAATTAAATTTTCTGTCTGTTTGTCATTTTTTACAAAGACATTATTGTAGAATGATACACATGAAAAGTGATACACCAGTCATATTTAACGCATTTCAGATCTGTATGTTCAGAAATATTTTAGCAATGGACAGTTATGGACATATTTGACACTATTAATAGAATCACGACAACGTCACAAATTTGTAGACCATGCTCTTCAGGTCTTTTAAACGTTGCTGTGAGCGTCCCATTACAAATCATACGTTCACGTACAGTTACCGATGATGCCATACAAGATTAAAGATATCAATGTGAAATTGATCTTAAATCGATTGATATTCTGCCTTTTCTTTCCCTCAAACCTGTCTTTCCTACATCCTTAAATCTCCATGGTTTGCTGTGACCCCGGAATACAATAATTCCACGTCTATAAAGCAATGTTTATTTTGGCCGACTACTCGTCTGTTATATTTCCAAACACTAGGTCAATGGCGATTCATACTGAGACAAACAAGTGTCTTTTCAGTTTATGTTAGTACATAGTATGTGACTGTTAATGAATTTATTATTGACTTATTTGTCTTTTGTATGGTGTTGTAATGCCTCAACCTAATATTAGATATCGAGGACAGTAGTGCAGTCAGTACTGGGGTCAATATTTGTCACACTCTTTAGTTATCAACAGTCTGTAGAAATTGGTGTATATTCAGGTTATAAATAGACCTAACTGGGTCATCCTTTGCTGAATACTTAAAGGAGATTCACACACTTTTTTTGAACAATAAAGTTAACATGAGGAGCGCTAACGACGGAACGGGTATAGGCCTGGCCATTTTGGTTAGCTTTATTGCACTTGGTACTGGACATGTATTTGGAACAATAGTTTCAACAGAAGATGGCGCCTTGGAAGGAATTGTTGTACCGTTACAGAAAGGAAACATTTATCAGTTTAAGAAGATTCCTTACGCAATGCCGCCAGTAGGCCCCCTTAGATTCAGCAAACCGTTGAAACATCCACCTTGGAATAACACACTTAACGCTACAGACTTTGGACCTGCTTGTATTCAAAGCGGCAGTTTGACACATCCTGTATCAGAAGATTGTCTTTTCTTGAACGTTTATGTCCCACATAAACTTTCAACAACAGCCAACAAATCAGTGATGGTTTGGATTCACGGTGGAGGCTATAGATCTGGCTCTGGGATGGAGTATGACGGTACGTCATTAGCGCTTCAAGGCGACGTCATTGTTGTGACGCTCAACTACCGACTCGGTGTCTTTGGATTTTTCAGTACGGGAGATTCCAGCGCGAGAGGTAATTACGGATTATGGGATCAGATAGAAGCCCTTAAATGGATAAAGTCTAATATCAAATATTTTGGCGGCAATTCTGATTCAATAACGTTGTTTGGAGAATCGGCAGGTGCTTTTAGCGTTTTCCATTTAGCTTTGTTTCCAGGGAACCAGAATCTTTTTCATCGCGTTATTATGCAAAGTGGTACTTTTGGATTTGTTCAAAAAGATCCATTCACGTACGCACAAGCCTTGGGTGATCATTTACAATGCAGTGATGTTCACAGCACTACTTCATTAGTTTCGTGTTTACGCGAAGTGGAGGCAACAACGTTACTAACTGGGTCGCACATTGCATATATGTTTTCTTCACTTAATGATATTTTCGCTATGCCTTTAGCACCTGTCATAGACGGAGAACTGATTTCCGTTGATCCGCTGTCTTTACTTCGTAATGAATCCTCGGAAGAGTTGGCATTCTACAAATCGCTCGACGTCATTTCCGGTTGCAATTCAGCCGAAGGATCCTTGTTACTGATGGTTATTCCACTATTTCCAGACTTATTTTTACCGGCTGGCAACTTGTCGGAAGGAATTCCAAGCTGGGTTCTGAAGCTCTTTGCTCAAAGCTTAACTGAAACAAAGTACAATAACGACAGCAGGATTTTACAGCTTGTATATGACAAGTACACCTCAACGGATATAGCAGAACAAGGTCGACTCATTGTCAACTTTTTCAGTGATTTTACATATTATTTGCCAATGCTAGAATCTTTATTGCTTCATAATAGAGGAGGAAACTCACACGCGAATTCTTTTCAATATTTCTTCTCGAATGCACCACTTGTAGATTTTGCACTTGGTGTTCTACCGGAATGGTTCGAAGGAGCTGGTCATGGAACTGAGATCAACTACTTGTTCGATAACTGGGGTTACCTCAGTGGTAACAACAGGGTTCTTTCTACCACCATGATGTCGTACTGGACGAACTTTGCAAATAACGGGTAAGTTTCCAAATACCATTCTTTTCAAATGAAGGGTAAGTACAGGTTTACAAAATATCAATTTGTTTGAATTACGAAAAGATTTCAATTTTTAGTAACACTTACAATGAGATAACAATGACAGATGACTGGAAATTAAGTATTCATGGATTTGTTTTGATAATTTGAGCATGACACATCTTATTTTTGTTTTAAATTAAATACTTGTTTGCTTTGACCGAAAGTGAGTACCGGAAATGGTGGTTTTTTTTTCAATTTTTGATATAAATGAAAATGTGATGGAGCGAAATCATGCGAAAAAGGCGGATGCTCAATCAATTCAAAGCTACAATCGTTAATGACACACCTGTTAATGATAGATTTGTGAACAAGGCCATTGTCCTGGTGGAACAACACACCTTTACTGAGTTTTCCGAGATATGTGAGTTGAATATTTTCTTTAAACACTGAAGATCCAATGAGAAGTTTGTGCCATTGATTGCAGATAATCTACTATCAGAATACCATAAGCATCCCCGAAAACCGAGGCCATAGCCTTTCCAGCTGATCTAACAGTCTTTGCCTTCATTGGCGAGGTTGAACTATGGTACTTCCATTGTTTAGACCGTTGTTTTGCCTTGGGGATGAAATGACGGACCCACGTGTCGTCCATAGTCACAAACCTCTGTAGAAAGTTAAGAGGATCTGTCTCTAAAAGTTTCAGATTCGCACATGACAAAGTCCTCCTGGTGTGCCTCTGATTAACTGTCAGAAATCTTGGTACCCAACGGGCTGAGACCTTTCTCATTGCACGATCTTCCGTTAAAATCCCAGATATACTGGCTATATCTGTGTGTGTGTCTCGCTTGTCAGCCATAACAATATCATGGACTTAATTGATCGTGTCTGAGGTTGCAACCGTGACAGGTTTTCCGGGAAGGACGTTATTCCCAAAGACACTGCTTGTCATGCTTTAATTCCAACACCCACCTTTTCAATGTAGCAAATGAAAGGGCGTCATTCCTAAATATAGCAGCAACCATGTCATTATGGATACCCTTAGGTGCTAGACCTTTCTTATGCAAATATTGAATCACTGCTCTTTTAGCGATTTTGTTAATTTTGCAAAAGTCACTTGACTTGTTTACTGTAGATTGCTACCTCTTCCACATAAACTGACCAAATGACACCAGTCTTCGGTTACGAAGCTTTAAATAGTCAGGGAATGGTAGAGCTGAAAACGGATATCACTGTTTAACGTCATCAATACAAGGCTCACAACTTATCAGTCAGCCCTCGTAACACGGTAATTATGGGAAAGTTGAATTTTTCAGATACATATGTGTTGATAAATATACACGTGTACATAGTTAAAATTTTTGTCCTTTCAGGAACCCGAACATAGGACTTCCGGTACCGTACTGGTCTGAATTTGATGAAACATCTAGGCAATACATTGACCTTGGCACGGAAATCACAACAGGATCTGATTTATTGGGAGACCGGATACGATTCTGGACTGATGAGATACCTCGTGTAATGTCAGAAACGGAAATCGCTATAAACACGCCATTGGGACGAATCAGAGGAATTTCACAAAAGGTTAAAGGTAAAAACATCTATCAGTTCCGGAAAATTCCTTTCGCTGTGCCGCCAATAGGATTACTAAGATTCGCAAAGCCTGTTTCTGTTTCACGGTGGAATGATACACTTGACGCTACCCGGTTTGGACCTGCCTGCATTCAAACTATAAGCGCGATCACGGGAAAGTTTCTTCCAAACAAAAATCTCTCGGAAGATTGTCTCTTTGTAAATGTTTATGTACCAAACGAATTGACAATAACTGCCAACAAATCAGTGATGGTTTGGATTCACGGTGGAGGCTATAGATCTGGCTCTGGGATGGAGTATGACGGTACGTCATTAGCGCTTCAAGGCGACGTCATTGTTGTGACGCTCAACTACCGACTCGGTGTCTTTGGATTTTTCAGTACGGGAGATTCCAGCGCGAGAGGTAATTACGGATTATGGGATCAGATAGAAGCCCTTAAATGGATAAAGTCTAATATCAAATATTTTGGCGGCAATTCTGATTCAATAACGTTGTTTGGAGAATCGGCAGGTGCTTTTAGCGTTTTCCATTTAGCTTTGTTTCCAGGGAACCAGAATCTTTTTCATCGCGTTATTATGCAAAGTGGTACTTTTGGATTTGTTCAAAAAGATCCATTCACGTACGCACAAGCCTTGGGTGATCATTTACAATGCAGTGATGTTCACAGCACTACTTCATTAGTTTCGTGTTTACGCGAAGTGGAGGCAACAACGTTACTAACTGGGTCGCACATTGCATATATGTTTTCTTCACTTAATGATATTTTCGCTATGCCTTTAGCACCTGTCATAGACGGAGAACTGATTTCCGTTGATCCGCTGTCTTTACTTCGTAATGAATCCTCGGAAGAGTTGGCATTCTACAAATCGCTCGACGTCATTTCCGGTTGCAATTCAGCCGAAGGATCCTTGTTACTGATGGTTATTCCACTATTTCCAGACTTATTTTTACCGGCTGGCAACTTGTCGGAAGGAATTCCAAGCTGGGTTCTGAAGCTCTTTGCTCAAAGCTTAACTGAAACAAAGTACAATAACGACAGCAGGATTTTACAGCTTGTATATGACAAGTACACCTCAACGGATATAGCAGAACAAGGTCGACTCATTGTCAACTTTTTCAGTGATTTTACATATTATTTGCCAATGCTAGAATCTTTATTGCTTCATAATAGAGGAGGAAACTCACACGCGAATTCTTTTCAATATTTCTTCTCGAATGCACCACTTGTAGATTTTGCACTTGGTGTTCTACCGGAATGGTTCGAAGGAGCTGGTCATGGAACTGAGATCAACTACTTGTTCGATAACTGGGGTTACCTCAGTGGTAACAACAGGGTTCTTTCTACCACCATGATGTCGTACTGGACGAACTTTGCAAATAACGGGTAAGTTTCCAAATACCATTCTTTTCAAATGAAGGGTAAGTACAGGTTTACAAAATATCAATTTGTTTGAATTACGAAAAGATTTCAATTTTTAGTAACACTTACAATGAGATAACAATGACAGATGACTGGAAATTAAGTATTCATGGATTTGTTTTGATAATTTGAGCAATGACACATCTTATTTTTGTTTTAAATTAAATACTTGTTTGCTTTGACCGAAAATGAGTACCGGAAATGGTGGGTTTTTTTTTCAATTTTTGATATAAATGAAAATGTGATGGAGCGAAATCATGCGAAAAAGGCGGATGCTCAATCAATTCAAAGCTACAATCGTTAATGACACACCTGTTAATGATAGATTTGTGAACAAGGCCATTGTCCTGGTGGAACAACACACCTTTACTGAGTTTTCCGAGATATGTGAGTTGAATATTTTCTTTAAACACTGAAGATCCAATGAGAAGTTTGTGCCATTGATTGCAGATAATCTACTATCAGAATACCATAAGCATCCCCGAAAACCGAGGCCATAGCCTTTCCAGCTGATCTAACAGTCTTTGCCTTCATTGGCGAGGTTGAACTATGGTACTTCCATTGTTTAGACCGTTGTTTTGCCTTGGGGATGAAATGACGGACCCACGTGTCGTCCATAGTCACAAACCTCTGTAGAAAGTTAAGAGGATCTGTCTCTAAAAGTTTCAGATTCGCACATGACAAAGTCCTCCTGGTGTGCCTCTGATTAACTGTCAGAAATCTTGGTACCCAACGGGCTGAGACCTTTCTCATTGCACGATCTTCCGTTAAAATCCCAGATATACTGGCTATATCTGTGTGTGTGTCTCGCTTGTCAGCCATAACAATATCATGGACTTAATTGATCGTGTCTGAGGTTGCAACCGTGACAGGTTTTCCGGGAAGGACGTTATTCCCAAAGACACTGCTTGTCATGCTTTAATTCCAACACCCACCTTTTCAATGTAGCAAATGAAAGGGCGTCATTCCTAAATATAGCAGCAACCATGTCATTATGGATACCCTTAGGTGCTAGACCTTTCTTATGCAAATATTGAATCACTGCTCTTTTAGCGATTTTGTCAATTTTGCAAAAGTCACTTGACTTGTTTACTGTAGATTGCTACCTCTTCCACATAAACTGACCAAATGACACCAGTCTTCGGTTACGAAGCTTTAAATAGTCAGGGAATGGTAGAGCTGAAAACGGATATCACTGTTTAACGTCATCAATACAAGGCTCACAACTTATCAGTCAGCCCTCGTAACACGGTAATTATGGGAAAGTTGAATTTTTCAGATACATATGTGTTGATAAATATACACGTGTACATAGTTAAAATTTTTGTCCTTTCAGGAACCCGAACATAGGACTTCCGGTACCGTACTGGTCTGAATTTGATGAAACATCTAGGCAATACATTGACCTTGGCACGGAAATCACAACAGGATCTGATTTATTGGGAGACCGGATACGATTCTGGACTGATGAGATACCTCGTGTAATGTCAGAAACGGAAATCGCTATAAACACGCCATTGGGACGAATCAGAGGAATTTCACAAAAGGTTAAAGGTAAAAACATCTATCAGTTCCGGAAAATTCCTTTCGCTGTGCCGCCAATAGGATTACTAAGATTCGCAAAGCCTGTTTCTGTTTCACGGTGGAATGATACACTTGACGCTACCCGGTTTGGACCTGCCTGCATTCAAACTATAAGCGCGATCACGGGAAAGTTTCTTCCAAACAAAAATCTCTCGGAAGATTGTCTCTTTGTAAATGTTTATGTACCAAACGAATTGACAATAACTGCCAACAAATCAGTGATGGTTTGGATTCACGGTGGAGGCTATAGATCTGGCTCTGGGATGGAGTATGACGGTACGTCATTAGCGCTTCAAGGCGACGTCATTGTTGTGACGCTCAACTACCGACTCGGTGTCTTTGGATTTTTCAGTACGGGAGATTCCAGCGCGAGAGGTAATTACGGATTATGGGATCAGATAGAAGCCCTTAAATGGATAAAGTCTAATATCAAATATTTTGGCGGCAATTCTGATTCAATAACGTTGTTTGGAGAATCGGCAGGTGCTTTTAGCGTTTTCCATTTAGCTTTGTTTCCAGGGAACCAGAATCTTTTTCATCGCGTTATTATGCAAAGTGGTACTTTTGGATTTGTTCAAAAAGATCCATTCACGTACGCACAAGCCTTGGGTGATCATTTACAATGCAGTGATGTTCACAGCACTACTTCATTAGTTTCGTGTTTACGCGAAGTGGAGGCAACAACGTTACTAACTGGGTCGCACATTGCATATATGTTTTCTTCACTTAATGATATTTTCGCTATGCCTTTAGCACCTGTCATAGACGGAGAACTGATTTCCGTTGATCCGCTGTCTTTACTTCGTAATGAATCCTCGGAAGAGTTGGCATTCTACAAATCGCTCGACGTCATTTCCGGTTGCAATTCAGCCGAAGGATCCTTGTTACTGATGGTTATTCCACTATTTCCAGACTTATTTTTACCGGCTGGCAACTTGTCGGAAGGAATTCCAAGCTGGGTTCTGAAGCTCTTTGCTCAAAGCTTAACTGAAACAAAGTACAATAACGACAGCAGGATTTTACAGCTTGTATATGACAAGTACACCTCAACGGATATAGCAGAACAAGGTCGACTCATTGTCAACTTTTTCAGTGATTTTACATATTATTTGCCAATGCTAGAATCTTTATTGCTTCATAATAGAGGAGGAAACTCACACGCGAATTCTTTTCAATATTTCTTCTCGAATGCACCACTTGTAGATTTTGCACTTGGTGTTCTACCGGAATGGTTCGAAGGAGCTGGTCATGGAACTGAGATCAACTACTTGTTCGATAACTGGGGTTACCTCAGTGGTAACAACAGGGTTCTTTTTGCAAATAACGGGTAAGTTTCCACCATGATGTCGTATCAATTTGTTTGAATTACGAACTTTGCAAATAACGGGTTTGTTTTTGAAGTTTCCAAATACCATTCTTTTCAAATGAAGGGTAAGTACAGGTTTACAAAATATCAATTTGTTTGAATTACGAAAAGATTTCAATTTTTAGTAACACTTACAATGAGATAACAATGACAGATGACTGGAAATTAAGTATTCATGGATTTGTTTTGATAATTTGAGCAATGACACATCTTATTTTTGTTTTAAATTAAATACTTGTTTGCTTTGACCGAAAGTGAGTACCGGAAATGGTGGTTTTTTTTTCAATTTTTGATATAAATGAAAATGTGATGGAGCGAAATCATGCGAAAAAGGCGGATGCTCAATCAATTCAAAGCTACAATCGTTAATGACACACCTGTTAATGATAGATTTGTGAACAAGGCCATTGTCCTGGTGGAACAACACACCTTTACTGAGTTTTCCGAGATATGTGAGTTGAATATTTTCTTTAAACACTGAAGATCCAATGAGAAGTTTGTGCCATTGATTGCAGATAATCTACTATCAGAATACCATAAGCATCCCCGAAAACCGAGGCCATAGCCTTTCCAGCTGATCTAACAGTCTTTGCCTTCATTGGCGAGGTTGAACTATGGTACTTCCATTGTTTAGACCGTTGTTTTGCCTTGGGGATGAAATGACGGACCCACGTGTCGTCCATAGTCACAAACCTCTGTAGAAAGTTAAGAGGATCTGTCTCTAAAAGTTTCAGATTCGCACATGACAAAGTCCTCCTGGTGTGCCTCTGATTAACTGTCAGAAATCTTGGTACCCAACGGGCTGAGACCTTTCTCATTGCACGATCTTCCGTTAAAATCCCAGATATACTGGCTATATCTGTGTGTGTGTCTCGCTTGTCAGCCATAACAATATCATGGACTTAATTGATCGTGTCTGAGGTTGCAACCGTGACAGGTTTTCCGGGAAGGACGTTATTCCCAAAGACACTGCTTGTCATGCTTTAATTCCAACACCCACCTTTTCAATGTAGCAAATGAAAGGGCGTCATTCCTAAATATAGCAGCAACCATGTCATTATGGATACCCTTAGGTGCTAGACCTTTCTTATGCAAATATTGAATCACTGCTCTTTTAGCGATTTTGTCAATTTTGCAAAAGTCACTTGACTTGTTTACTGTAGATTGCTACCTCTTCCACATAAACTGACCAAATGACACCAGTCTTCGGTTACGAAGCTTTAAATAGTCAGGGAATGGTAGAGCTGAAAACGGATATCACTGTTTAACGTCATCAATACAAGGCTCACAACTTATCAGTCAGCCCTCGTAACACGGTAATTATGGGAAAGTTGAATTTTTCAGATACATATGTGTTGATAAATATACACGTGTACATAGTTAAAATTTTTGTCCTTTCAGGAACCCGAACATAGGACTTCCGGTACCGTACTGGTCTGAATTTGATGAAACATCTAGGCAATACATTGACCTTGGCACGGAAATCACAACAGGATCTGATTTATTGGGAGACCGGATACGATTCTGGACTGATGAGATACCTCGTGTAATGTCAGAAACGGAAATCGCTATAAACACGCCATTGGGACGAATCAGAGGAATTTCACAAAAGGTTAAAGGTAAAAACATCTATCAGTTCCGGAAAATTCCTTTCGCTGTGCCGCCAATAGGATTACTAAGATTCGCAAAGCCTGTTTCTGTTTCACGGTGGAATGATACACTTGACGCTACCCGGTTTGGACCTGCCTGCATTCAAACTATAAGCGCGATCACGGGAAAGTTTCTTCCAAACAAAAATCTCTCGGAAGATTGTCTCTTTGTAAATGTTTATGTACCAAACGAATTGACAATAACTGCCAACAAATCAGTGATGGTTTGGATTCACGGTGGAGGCTATAGATCTGGCTCTGGGATGGAGTATGACGGTACGTCATTAGCGCTTCAAGGCGACGTCATTGTTGTGACGCTCAACTACCGACTCGGTGTCTTTGGATTTTTCAGTACGGGAGATTCCAGCGCGAGAGGTAATTACGGATTATGGGATCAGATAGAAGCCCTTAAATGGATAAAGTCTAATATCAAATATTTTGGCGGCAATTCTGATTCAATAACGTTGTTTGGAGAATCGGCAGGTGCTTTTAGCGTTTTCCATTTAGCTTTGTTTCCAGGGAACCAGAATCTTTTTCATCGCGTTATTATGCAAAGTGGTACTTTTGGATTTGTTCAAAAAGATCCATTCACGTACGCACAAGCCTTGGGTGATCATTTACAATGCAGTGATGTTCACAGCACTACTTCATTAGTTTCGTGTTTACGCGAAGTGGAGGCAACAACGTTACTAACTGGGTCGCACATTGCATATATGTTTTCTTCACTTAATGATATTTTCGCTATGCCTTTAGCACCTGTCATAGACGGAGAACTGATTTCCGTTGATCCGCTGTCTTTACTTCGTAATGAATCCTCGGAAGAGTTGGCATTCTACAAATCGCTCGACGTCATTTCCGGTTGCAATTCAGCCGAAGGATCCTTGTTACTGATGGTTATTCCACTATTTCCAGACTTATTTTTACCGGCTGGCAACTTGTCGGAAGGAATTCCAAGCTGGGTTCTGAAGCTCTTTGCTCAAAGCTTAACTGAAACAAAGTACAATAACGACAGCAGGATTTTACAGCTTGTATATGACAAGTACACCTCAACGGATATAGCAGAACAAGGTCGACTCATTGTCAACTTTTTCAGTGATTTTACATATTATTTGCCAATGCTAGAATCTTTATTGCTTCATAATAGAGGAGGAAACTCACACGCGAATTCTTTTCAATATTTCTTCTCGAATGCACCACTTGTAGATTTTGCACTTGGTGTTCTACCGGAATGGTTCGAAGGAGCTGGTCATGGAACTGAGATCAACTACTTGTTCGATAACTGGGGTTACCTCAGTGGTAACAACAGGGTTCTTTCTACCACCATGATGTCGTACTGGACGAACTTTGCAAATAACGGGTAAGTTTCCAAATACCATTCTTTTCAAATGAAGGGTAAGTACAGGTTTACAAAATATCAATTTGTTTGAATTACGAAAAGATTTCAATTTTTAGTAACACTTACAATGAGATAACAATGACAGATGACTGGAAATTAAGTATTCATGGATTTGTTTTTGATTCAGAAATCAGATCTATCACCAGAAGTATCTCAGTATGAGAACAAATTGTGTATTTGAGTCTGAGTATAATTTAATGACACGGGGGGTGGGGCCTGTATTTCTTGTGAGGTAATCTGTTTGGTTCTACAGTATAACAATGCCATGCACTGTAATAGAATATAGTTCTCTTATTGCCAAAAAGAAAATGTTCAGTATTAACAAGCAATCAGACAAAATAAATCGTATTTGTCCTTCATAAGAAACTGAATGTAAATTAAGACTTAAGTTGATAGAAATTCAGAAGCTCGTATGTTTTAAAAAGTATCCTGTGATTTTTCTTGTAAATGAGTCATTGATAGATATTTTTCGATAATTTGAGCAATGACACATCTTATTTTTGTTTTAAATTAAATACTTGTTTGCTTTGACCGAAAGTGAGTACCGGAAATGGTGGTTTTTTTTTCAATTTTTGATATAAATGAAAATGTGATGGAGCGAAATCATGCGAAAAAGGCGGATGCTCAATCAATTCAAAGCTACAATCGTTAATGACACACCTGTTAATGATAGATTTGTGAACAAGGCCATTGTCCTGGTGGAACAACACACCTTTACTGAGTTTTCCGAGATATGTGAGTTGAATATTTTCTTTAAACACTGAAGATCCAATGAGAAGTTTGTGCCATTGATTGCAGATAATCTACTATCAGAATACCATAAGCATCCCCGAAAACCGAGGCCATAGCCTTTCCAGCTGATCTAACAGTCTTTGCCTTCATTGGCGAGGTTGAACTATGGTACTTCCATTGTTTAGACCGTTGTTTTGCCTTGGGGATGAAATGACGGACCCACGTGTCGTCCATAGTCACAAACCTCTGTAGAAAGTTAAGAGGATCTGTCTCTAAAAGTTTCAGATTCGCACATGACAAAGTCCTCCTGGTGTGCCTCTGATTAACTGTCAGAAATCTTGGTACCCAACGGGCTGAGACCTTTCTCATTGCACGATCTTCCGTTAAAAGCCCCAGATATACTGGCTATATCTGTGTGTGTGTCTCGCTTGTCAGCCATAACAATATCATGGACTTAATTGATCGTGTCTGAGGTTGCAACCGTGACAGGTTTTCCGGGAAGGACGTTATTCCCAAAGACACTGCTTGTCATGCTTTAATTCCAACACCCACCTTTTCAATGTAGCAAATGAAAGGGCGTCATTCCTAAATATAGCAGCAACCATGTCATTATGGATACCCTTAGGTGCTAGACCTTTCTTATGCAAATATTGAATCACTGCTCTTTTAGCGATTTTGTCAATTTTGCAAAAGTCACTTGACTTGTTTACTGTAGATTGCTACCTCTTCCACATAAACTGACCAAATGACACCAGTCTTCGGTTACGAAGCTTTAAATAGTCAGGGAATGGTAGAGCTGAAAACGGATATCACTGTTTAACGTCATCAATACAAGGCTCACAACTTATCAGTCAGCCCTCGTAACACGGTAATTATGGGAAAGTTGAATTTTTCAGATACATATGTGTTGATAAATATACACGTGTACATAGTTAAAATTTTTGTCCTTTCAGGAACCCGAACATAGGACTTCCGGTACCGTACTGGTCTGAATTTGATGAAACATCTAGGCAATACATTGACCTTGGCACGGAAATCACAACAGGATCTGATTTATTGGGAGACCGGATACGATTCTGGACTGATGAGATACCTCGTGTAATGTCAGAAACGGAAATCGCTATAAACACGCCATTGGGACGAATCAGAGGAATTTCACAAAAGGTTAAAGGTAAAAACATCTATCAGTTCCGGAAAATTCCTTTCGCTGTGCCGCCAATAGGATTACTAAGATTCGCAAAGCCTGTTTCTGTTTCACGGTGGAATGATACACTTGACGCTACCCGGTTTGGACCTGCCTGCATTCAAACTATAAGCGCGATCACGGGAAAGTTTCTTCCAAACAAAAATCTCTCGGAAGATTGTCTCTTTGTAAATGTTTATGTACCAAACGAATTGACAATAACTGCCAACAAATCAGTGATGGTTTGGATTCACGGTGGAGGCTATAGATCTGGCTCTGGGATGGAGTATGACGGTACGTCATTAGCGCTTCAAGGCGACGTCATTGTTGTGACGCTCAACTACCGACTCGGTGTCTTTGGATTTTTCAGTACGGGAGATTCCAGCGCGAGAGGTAATTACGGATTATGGGATCAGATAGAAGCCCTTAAATGGATAAAGTCTAATATCAAATATTTTGGCGGCAATTCTGATTCAATAACGTTGTTTGGAGAATCGGCAGGTGCTTTTAGCGTTTTCCATTTAGCTTTGTTTCCAGGGAACCAGAATCTTTTTCATCGCGTTATTATGCAAAGTGGTACTTTTGGATTTGTTCAAAAAGATCCATTCACGTACGCACAAGCCTTGGGTGATCATTTACAATGCAGTGATGTTCACAGCACTACTTCATTAGTTTCGTGTTTACGCGAAGTGGAGGCAACAACGTTACTAACTGGGTCGCACATTGCATATATGTTTTCTTCACTTAATGATATTTTCGCTATGCCTTTAGCACCTGTCATAGACGGAGAACTGATTTCCGTTGATCCGCTGTCTTTACTTCGTAATGAATCCTCGGAAGAGTTGGCATTCTACAAATCGCTCGACGTCATTTCCGGTTGCAATTCAGCCGAAGGATCCTTGTTACTGATGGTTATTCCACTATTTCCAGACTTATTTTTACCGGCTGGCAACTTGTCGGAAGGAATTCCAAGCTGGGTTCTGAAGCTCTTTGCTCAAAGCTTAACTGAAACAAAGTACAATAACGACAGCAGGATTTTACAGCTTGTATATGACAAGTACACCTCAACGGATATAGCAGAACAAGGTCGACTCATTGTCAACTTTTTCAGTGATTTTACATATTATTTGCCAATGCTAGAATCTTTATTGCTTCATAATAGAGGAGGAAACTCACACGCGAATTCTTTTCAATATTTCTTCTCGAATGCACCACTTGTAGATTTTGCACTTGGTGTTCTACCGGAATGGTTCGAAGGAGCTGGTCATGGAACTGAGATCAACTACTTGTTCGATAACTGGGGTTACCTCAGTGGTAACAACAGGGTTCTTTCTACCACCATGATGTCGTACTGGACGAACTTTGCAAATAACGGGTAAGTTTCCAAATACCATTCTTTTCAAATGAAGGATAAGTACAGGTTTACAAAATATCAATTTGTTTGAATTACGAAAAGATTTCAATTTTTAGTAACACTTACAATGAGATAACAATGACGGATGACCTTGGAAAACAAAAATATTCATTTTTTTTGACAATTTGAGCAGTAATATACTTATTTTTTAAAAAATTAAATAATGATGATCTTATTCGGCGTTCCAAATTTCTCAGGAATCCAAACGAAGGACTTGCGGTTCCATACTGGCCTAAATTTGACGAAATCGGAAGACACTATATAGAAATGGACTCCAATGTCACAGCAAAGTCTGATTTACTAGAAGACCGGATGATGTTCTGGACTAACGGAATACTGCGTATTTTGGAGACCAACACTGTCACCACTACGCTTGCGCCAGCAAACGACATATCAAATGCCTTTGTGAAATGTCCAAGTTTTGTATCTGTTTGTTTATGTGTTATATTGTCGTTGTTTTATCTGCCCTAAACGTATTATACAATAATGAAAAAATAGCCCATAAAGCTGTAATTTCAGCTTGGCTTGTGGAATTGGCTTATTGAAATGTTTAGCTGTTTAGCTATTTTGGTGCATATTTTGAACCCTGGTGCGCGTGTATTTTAGTTCTTCAGAAAAAAGTGTTTTGAATATCTGCAGAATCCAAAATTAACAAAATTAAATTAATCGAAAAGTAACTACATCCCCTCTCTATATTTCCATATCGTCTAGCGCATAGAATGCAATATTTGCTTACCACGATACTTTGTTGTAATGTCAACATTCCAATGATATCACGTACTTAACAATGACCGTATGTGAGCTTAATCTGCACCAGCTGTCATTTCAAATTATTAGCCTTATGTCATTTTACGCATTTTGGAGGTGTTATTTGTAATGATGTTTGTACTACCTTATGCCAAGCGCAAATGCAGTTTTAGTATTGAGCAGTCGAATACATGGCAAAGACTCTCTTTCAGGAACAATGTAATTTTGCCCAAGCAAATTAAATGAAAATGACTGGTATTTGTAGCACCTTGAGACTCATTGTATATGGAAGCAGTATTAAAATATCCGGCGTTATTATATAACATTCGTTAAGTCGGTGAAAAATGTGCCCTTAATGGATATCTGTCCGATAAAGATATGAATCATAACTTATAAAGAGCGTACACATATGGATGTGCGTTTCTAGATCACCTGGCCAATCGGAAGGAACGATCACTGCTTTATGCAGTGCATCCAGACAATCATGTATCACGGTAAGATACAAGGGAGATAATCATTTTACGAGATGATAACTAAAACCTTGTAGTGCAACACACGCGTAAATCAGACAAGTTGTGTTCGGGTCTAAAGATCTAGGTGGAGACGACAAGGGACGAAAGAAGTTTAAGTCTTATATTCAGCATATATTCTTAACATCACTAATCTCTTTCAAACTGTATTTTTCATCTCATGATCTTTTAATCATTTAGGTTTCGCCTGCATTTTATTGATGCATTATAGATCCATATCATAATGTCTTCGTTGTCTGCTTACAAATATGTTGTATACTTATGAAGAACGTACATTTCAAGTGCTATTGTGAATAAAGCAGAGTGAAAAATTAACTCATTTTCTTGGTTGTTTGGCATAAGCGACTACATATATTGTGACTGAACAATTTTGGTAAGTTTGCAAACGACAAAAGTATTCTACATGTACCTCATATTGGACAATTATGCAACCAAAATTGCAAAACTGCTGCCAAAAGAGCATAATATAAAAGGAATTTATGAACAGAACATGACGAAGTGCTATTTTGGAACATTTTCGTCAATTTGGCAATTTCAACAGAATAGAAGTTCTTATAACACAACCAGTAGAAGATTAGAGTGTGACGTTTCCATGACTACATGGTTACCTTACAGTTCTTATAACACAAACAGTAGAAGATCAGAGTGTGATGTTTCCTTTACTACATGGTTACCTTACAGTTCTTATAACACAAACAGTAGAAGATCAGAGTGTGATGTTTCCTTTACTACATGGTTACCTTACAGTTCTTATAACATAACCAGTCAAATATTTGAGAGAGATGTTCCGATAACTACACGGTCACCTTCATCTTATAACACAAGATTAGAGTGGGACGTTTCCATGACTACATGGTCACCTTACAGTTCTTATAACACAACTAGTAGAAGATTAGAGTGTGATGTTTCCTTTACTACACGGTTACCTTACAGTTCTTATAACACAACCAGTAAAAGAGAGTGACGTTTCGATGACAACAAGGTCATCTTCATCTTATACTACAACCAGTTGAAGAGTTTGACGTTTCAATGACTACACGATCACCTTAATCAGACAAACGACAGATCAGATGGCAAGGAATCTACCACTTTTTTCTACTCTCTGATTGAGGTGACCGTGTCGTCATCAAAAACTCACACTCTAATCTTCTACTGGTTTTGTGGTAGGAACTTCTATTCTAATGAAGACATGTTGTTTCTGACTTAAAATGAAATGAAAGTTATTGTTTTGTTTGAAGTTTTCATTCCCAAAGCTTTCAATGCAGTGTAAAAGGATGATAGTATTATCATACTGAAATGTCATGTAATGGACACATTTTCATGACATCCTATCCGGTCACACTATGGTGATTCCGGGCTAAAAGTTATTATATACTAAACAAAAAAAAAGAAAGGTAACACTACTTTATTCTGTGATTAATTAATTAACCTCTTCATAAATCCTTACCAATCATGTACGAATAAAGTAATTGATCAATTCTGATAAAACTGCAGTCATGGTTTATTATAAAACTTTGCGTTCAGTTGATTTTATTCGACTGTAAAGGACGTTGGGGTCAATTTCGAAGGTAATATCATTAGTAACGGGTATGGCCACCGTTTGCAAAGTAAACAGCATTGCAGTGTCGTCGCATGGAACTCGTAAACCGGCGGATAATTCGAGGAGAGATATTGTTTCATTCAGCGATCAAGGCTTGGGCCAGCTCCTGCAAGTTTGACGGCTGATTTTGACGTTCTCTCACGCGTCGCCCAAGAACATCCCAGACATGCTCAATCGGTGACAAATCAGGTGATTTAGATGGCCAATCTAACACCTGTACGTTATTCTGCTGCAAGAAAGTTCTGCTGACGCGACTGGTGTGCGCTGGTGCGTTATCCTGTTGAAAAATGGCGCCAACGCCATGGCGTCTTAAGAATGGCAGAACCACTGGTCTTAAAATTTCGTCCAGATATCGAATGCCGGTTAAATTGCCATTTAACACAACAAGCCTGGTACGAGTCCCCCAACAAATACCACCCCAAACCATTACACTTCCGCCGCCAAAGCGGTCCCGTTCTGCGACGCAGCAGTTCGCAAAACGCTCCCTTTGTCGCCTCCACACTCTGCGCCTACCGTCACCGTGTTGCAGACAAAACCTGGACTCATCTGAAAACAGACCATTGTTCCATTGTCGTAAGGCCCAACGACGGTGAACACGGGTCCAGTTACGCCGATCATTGCGGTGACGTCGCAACAAATTGGGTCCAGTGTAGGGACGCTGCGCTTTCAATTAGTAGGCCCTCAACCTGTTGCGGACTGTTTGGGGAGACACACGACACCAAAACAATGTCCTTGTAGTCTCTACTGCGGTTACGAATCGATTGCGCAAGTGTATCAATCGTATACGACGGTCATCCCTAGCGGTCGTTTTACGGGGTCGGCCGCTTCGGGAACGATCGGATGTTGACCGAGTTTGGTTTAAACGACTTACCAACTGGCAAATTGTCTTAACACTGCAACCAAAATGCCGTGCAACTCGACGGCGAGACTCCCCAGCCTGGATCATGCCTACAGCCCTTTCTCTCTGTACTTGTGACAGCCGGGGCATAATGATAAATTTGATAGATAGCAAGATTCGGTGATTTCTAAGTCCTAAGGATCTAAGGAACAGTTGTCAGTTTGAATGTTTATGAAATTCAAGCGAAGATACAAGTTATTAGCAGAAAACCTAGTGCAGGTCTTTCGCTAAAACACGCTTGAATGATTTTGGTAACCCCCTTAGATTTTGTAATGTAAAACATTACAATTTTCTAATATTGCACAAACGTCATTTTGTTTTCACTCATTTACAGGTATTCGCCAAGGAAACATGTTAACATTTCTTTTTTTGTTGAGTATACATCCAATCAGAGCGACAAGCGAGAAATCGAAATGGAGTTTGTTTAACATCTTAATCAAACAAAAATGTGAATCTGTTTTGTATTGATTCTGTGGTGATAAACGTAAAAGCAACAAGAAACATTCTTATGCCATGTCTTAAGTTATGACATATGTTATGGTATATGTACCGAAAGAAAATATAACAAGGAAAAACTTGATGATAAAAGAGAGACGATTGACTAAAAGAAGAAAAAATAGCCTGCTTCACATAATCTGAAATTCAGCAATGAGCAATGACAGCCTGGAATTAGTAGAACTTTTATATAGAACTACAACATATTTGGTCAAAATAGTTCGATATAGGATTAACGTCCCTTATTATTATTGTTTGAGTCCTACGTATATTTTCTTATTACATTTCAAAGACTCTAAATGCGAATTTATGACATCATGGACAAGACGAAAATTGATGAAGACATATCTTGAATGTTAAGACCTACAGGTAACAAAAATTGCTGCACTAGCAAACAATACGAAATATTGAAAGGAATTATTGGTCTTATGAACAGAAAAAAGGTAAACATGTTACGAATCGACATGTACTATTGATCAGACAAAACAGCTGTTTGCACGAATATTTCATCTGATTCTTTCATTTTTGTAATCCTTTCTATCTGTGTTATTGCAATTACAAAAGAAATGTGACCGGATATTTCAAATAAAAAAACATCAATAATCGGAAAAGAAATCCTGTGAAATTTTATAACTTATATTAAATTATAATTAGCGAAAATAATTGCAACTTATATTGTATTTTTCAATATCAAC